ACATGGACTCGAGAGCCACCAATCATATGACTCATGCCACTCCTTATGTTTCATCTCATGCCTCTACCAACCAAGTTGTTGTTAGTAATGGTGCCTCTCTTCCTATTACCCAGTCCGGTACCATTTCTTTTTCTTCTGGGCATTTTGTTTTCCGTCTATCTAATGTTCTTCACGTTCCTTCTCTTTGTAAAAACCTTATGTCTATTGCTCAACCCACTCATGATCTTCTTGTTAGTATTATCTTTTATCCTTGGGGTTATGTTATTTGTGACTTATATTCCAATAAAATTCTTTTTCAGGGCCAATATAAAGATGGTCTTCATCATGTCTTACCGTCTTCTTCTCCATCCCATGGCTCCAAGCAAGCTCTCATCTCCATTCCCCATCCTCTATCTGGCATCATCATCTCAGACATCCCTTTGATCGTGTTCTTGGAAATCTAATTTCTCGATCCTTGTTAAGATCTCGTTTTTCTTTGTCTTTCAATAAATGTACTCATCGTGCACTTGCTAAATCTACTCGTCTTTCCTTTTTGTCTCATGATCATTGGTCCACTGTTTCATTTAATTTAATACATTCTGATGTTTGGATGTCCCCTACTGTATCTATCTTTGGATTTTGATATTATGCTATTTTTATGGATGATTATACTCGTTACAAATGGCTTTTTCACATGTGCCAGAAATATGAAGTTTTCTCTCATTTCTCTAACTTTGTGACGTATGTGCAAACTCAATTTTCATCCTCTGTTAAACAATTCCAAAGTGATGGCGGCAAAGAATTTGATAATTTGATGTTCAAGCATTTTTGTGTACATAAAGGCATTTTACATAGGTAATCTTGCCCTCATACCCCACAATAGAATGTCATTGCTGAAAGAAAACATCGTCATATAGTCGACATGGGTCACACTCTCCTTCAAATCGCCCAAGTCCCACTCAACCTATGGGTTAAAGCTCTTTGTACTTTTGTCTATTTGATCAATCGTCTTCCTACTCCTACTATTCAATAGATTTCTCTATTTTTCAAAGTACATGGCAAACAACCTGATTACTTTCTCCTACTATATTTCTAACAAATTACAACCTTGTTCTTTAGCTTGTATTTTTGTAGGTTACAGTGAGCATTATCTTGGCTATCGATGCCTTCATCTTCTCACAAACCGTCTTTACACATCTCACCATGTTGTGTTTCATAAAGATTCATTTCCTTGTGCTGCTACTACCTCTTCATCACCACCAGTTCAAGAAATTATTTTTGTTCCTGTTGGGCCTCTACCAATTAACTCTATCTCTGATAGGCCTTACTCACTACTTTCCTCAGTCGGCCCAAGCCTACAACAACAGTCTTTCTGTCATGTCTATTATGTTGTGACGCCTTTAGACTCTCTCATCTTTGCAGCTGAGTCTTGTATCACATTACCCAACCATATTCCACCTACTTTTGCTCCACCGAGCCCTGCCACGCACTACACAAACTCGTCTGCTGCTCCACCACATTCTCCACCATCCACAGACTTGCCTCTCTCTTCTTCAATGCCGGCACCACCTCCTCCTATCAGTCGCTTCAGCCTAATTCATACCTACTCTTGCTTTGGCATCTTCAAACCCAACCCAAAATTTCAGTCCAACTTCTCTGCTCGTTATCCAATTCCACAAGCTCTCATAGCCGTGGTTGAGTCCGAGATTGAACCCATTTGTTATGCACAAGGGTCCAAGTCTCCCCACTGGCAATAGGCCATGCTAGACGAGTTCAATGCTCTTCTTCGCCAAGGAACATGGTCTCTTGTCCCATCTTCTTCCCATCAAAATGCAGCCAGCTGCAAATGGGTATTCAAGATCAAACGATGCTTTGATAGATCAATTAAAGCACGTCTTGTCGCCAACATCCCAGGATATTATTTTGACACATTTAGTCCAGTGGTCAAGTCAATCACTATTCGCACCATTTTGAGCATTGTTGTTTCTTGTGGGTGGGGAATATGGCAACTCAATGTTAAAAACACTTTTTTGCACGGTTATCTCTCCGAGGCGATGTTTATGCAACAACTTTCCGATTTCGCTGATCCTCTTCGGCCCACTCATGTTTGAAAAATTCCATAAGGCAATATATGGTCTCAAGCAAGCCCCCCGCACTTGGTTTCAGAGGTTTAGCGCTTTTCAACTTTGGGTTGGTTTCATCCAAAGTCGATCTGATTCGTCCTTGTTTATGTATCGTGATTGCTCGCATGTCATGATTTTACTCCTCTACATCAATGATATCGTGCTTACAAGTAGTAATCCCTCTCAACTTTCCGCTTTTATTCATGCTCTTAGTATTGAATTTAAAGTTAAAGATCTTGGCAGGCTTTATTACTTTCTTGGCATCGAAGTCTCACATCTCAAAGATTCTATTCACCTTACACAAAATAAATATACACTCGATCTTCTCCGAAAAAGTAATCTCCTAGAGTGTAAACCCCCATGGCCTCCCTGACCTCTGCTTCTTGCACTGATGGGTCTCCCCTTACTGATCCAACTCTATATCGCCAACTCGTGAGTGGTCTTCAATATCTCACCATAACTCACCCTGATATAGCCTATGCAATTCAACATGTTTCTCAATTCATGAGTTCTCCTAGTGATACACATTTGGAAGCTGTGAAATGAATACTTCATTACCTCAAAGGAACTCTTGGCCTGGTTTATCCCTTTGTGTTAATGTATGGTTTTTACTATTTTCTTTTGGCTTCCCTTGACAACTTTGTAATAGGATGTGTAATGTAATTTATCAAGCTCAAGTCTAGATTAGGGAAAACTTTTATTGGTGCTCTTCTCTAATCT